ATTCTGTCATCAGATGATAGAATATTTAATTCTGTAACACTTTACGGAATATATGTCATTCCATAGATAAAAGTGATATTAGAACGGTCATATTCCATAATAGAAGTAGAAAAAAAAATTTTGTCCTGTACATTTGGTTCAAGTCAAATTCTTTTTTAGGTTATTTTAAAAATTGAAAAAATTAAGTTATTTATTTTTTTGTTTTTATATCCAAAAATAAATTATTTTTGTATTTATTTTATTATAATTTTTCTTTACTACTAAAGCAAATTCTACGGGGCAAATTAACCCTTTTGCCCAACCCCCGGTCGGCTAACATGAATTGTGTTATATTAAAAACGTAGGTTCTAACATGACCTATAATTATATTTTATTATTAGCCTAGGGCGACACATTTTCTTAATCCGGCCCTGGCTATAGTTATAGCATATACAGGGATAATAATGGGCTTTTAGGCCGTTTAATAAACAAAGATGCATGCTATATAAAACGTACGAATAAGTGAGATAAACGTATAAATAAGAGAGACAAACAACCATTGTTGAACGAATAGGATAACAAAATACTTATTTCCCCTCTGCCATAAGCGTGCAGTACAAGATTTTAAAACGAATAAATCAAAACAATTAAACGTCCGCCAATGTTTTACTTTCCCTCCTCTAACTGCTTTACAATCCCACTACTAGATAACCTTGACGCAAATTTCGCAATCGAGTCTCGAAATAATTTCAGTATTATTCGGTCCACGTTGGAGTGCGGACGGAGGAGTTTTAAATTTTCTTTAAAATTTAACTATGATTTTGTTTACAAAAACGAATACTTATTGAATTTTTTTCGAAAATGTGGAAAATAAACCATGGTATTCTTGTAATAAAAAAACAAATATTCTTAAACAAAAATGGTATTCTAAAATGTTTAAAAAAATAAATTAAAGTAAATGTTTAAACAAAAATGGTATTCTAAAATATTTAAATAAAAAAATAAATAAAGTAAATGTTCAAACAAAAATGGTGTTCTAAAATATTTAAATAAAAAAATAAATAAATCAAAGTAAATGTTCAAATAGGCCCCCAAATGCTGCTGTACAATAGGTTAACCTATTATAAAAATTTTGTCGTACATTTGACAGCATCTCAGGTCTGATATTCCTTAATGTATTAATTATTAATTCTCTTAATTCATCAAGGGTATTTGCCCTGATATGCTGGAATCCGTATATTTTGGATTTGGCATATCCCCACATAAAAAAATCGCACGGAGCCAAGTCCGGTGATCTTGCTGGCCAGAGAATATTTCCGTGACCACTTATTATGCGGTCTGCAAAAGTGTCTTGCAAATATTCTCTTACCAATAGGGTATTATGTGCGGGACATCCATCCTGTTGAAACCATACTGACTCAAAAGGCACAGGCAGAGCACGAACTGCGGGAACAATTTCATTTTGCAGCAGTTCAAGATACTTTTGACCATTTAAGGTACCATCTATAAAAAATGGACCTATAACATGGTCTCCCAGCATTCCACACCAAACAATTTTTGTGGTCGTTGAGTATTGGCAGCATAATGCTGATGAGGATTCGTCCTGGACCAATACCGATGGTTCATGGAATTATGTCTACCATGTATAAAAAATGAAGACTCATCGGTAAAAAGGATATTTCGTGTGAAATTTATATCCCGGTTCGCCATTTCTATAACGGTTTCGCAAAATTCAATGCGACGGTATGGATCATCAGGAAATAGCTCATTACTCCTCTTTAATTTGTATGGGTGATACCCATGCTATCTTAAAATTTTGCCTACCATAGACCGTGATAGATCGAACTGTTCGGCAACTTGTCTGGTTGACTGGGTTGGATCTTGTTCGATGCTTGCACAAATTAAAGTGTCCCGTAATTCGCGTTCTTCATTTACTGGCCTTGCTTGCGGTTCCCTATTATGAACCCTATTAACACTGCCGAATGTTAAAAAATTATTTACAACATTTTGAATTGTTGCCCTTGCTGGTAAGGGTCTATTTGGGAACATATTTGGAAATAATCTTTGAATTTCTCGATCTGAGATCCCATTTAAATGCCACGTTATAAATTGAAGGGTGTAAACCATTCTTATTAGAGAATATTTCCTAATTTATAACAACCATCCCTGTATGATGTAACTAAATTAAATTTAAAAGCTGAAGAAACGACCATTGGCTTCATTTAATGCAGATAGGGTGCTGTTTCCCGATGTGTTGACTGATAAAATTATCACCATAAAGTTTATAGTATAAACAAAGAAATGAGCTATTTTTTTTAAATCCAGATGGTTTCGTTAAGTTATCTACCCAAAAAATTATAGATCATGATTCATGACGGAAAAATTTTGAAAAAAAAATTAAAATGAGTTTTCTAATAATTTATTCACGCAATTAATAATAAGTTGCTAAAGTCGTCGCGGGGAATGTTTGTTGTTTTCTTTTTCGTATGTAATCCAAGGAACCGCTAGGTTAGGGCACAATTACTCGGATCTAAGACAAACGTGAGTCCGATGTCACGCTCACGCATCGTGTGTTAAACAAGGACAGAGCGCATTAATTTGTGGTTGGAGAGGTTAGGTTTTTGTGACGTGCTCAGCGGCGTTTTTCATCGACATTTAATATTTGTAGTTGACCTTGACTTTTATATATTCCTATATTTTTAAGTTTTTTTGCATCAAATAAGGTATTTTTATAATGAAATTAGTGTTTCAGTATTCGATTTTAGCAAAAATCGGTACGATTCTGATCAGAATGTCCGGAAATCGGTTAGAAGGGAAACAGCAGTGCTTTGTGTTTAACTTAAGGAACTGGAGCATGGGGGTCCATTAAATTGTATCCAAGAGGTAAGAGCTATAGCGACAACAAAGTGCTGGATATTTTGAACCAGACACTTAGCCTTACTGAGGAGTGGTTCCAGCGGAAAAATGGACGAAGTTTCGGAACTAATCATCCACCTCGGAGACGACAGTTTCGACGAGGATAATGACTTTGACGACAGTATTTAGATAAATAAATTATTGACAATAAAATACATAGTGTACATTACAATATAAAAATTATAAACAATTTTGAGAAAATAAACACCTTCATTATATAAATAAATATGTTTTTCCACCTAAATCGTTTCTGTTAATAAATTGTCCCCACGTGGTTACGGTTTACAGTGATCGAGACAGTTGCATAGGAATGCTTTGTCAGGGGCATCGGTTCCTTCACAATTATTGTACAATATTAATACAGGTAAATCAAAAAACCAGGGGCATTAATTAATTAATTAATGCGTAGCTTAGACAAGATTATTTGTCTACGAAGTTTAATTGTTATTGTGACCCCTTGAAAATGATACGCTACTGATCACCTAACCTAACATTTCACGTTTTTTATACGAGAAATCAGTTTTTGACATTCGACATTTATGACGCAATTATAAACATTCCCCGCGACCACTATAGATATATTTTTAAAACAAAAACATTGCCGTTTTGGCAATTTCACATTGCTCCCTTAAACTTTTTATTCCTCGATCTATCCACTAATAGCTTCACTAGCACAAGATACATTTCAGCGATGGTAAAGTTTTATACTTTAGGCAATTAGCAAATTACGTTATTTGTATTATTATTATTATTATTATTATTATTATTATTATTATTATTATTATTATTATTATTATTATTATTATTATAAAATCTATAGTCATAACCGAGATTTTATACAATTTAGCATCTTGGATAAAATTCCAGAATTTTCAGATTTTATTGCCACATGTATAAGTATCCTGAAAAAAATTGGCGGGGGGGGCCGCCACTGGTAGGATTCGTTTTCGATAAAAATATAACGTGTAAACCTCACCTAAATACCATTGCACGTAAATCTGCCATCTGCAGAAGGTGCAGAAGTTAATGTTGTAAAAACAGAATGGCTTCATGGCTTTACACAGAAGTGGTAAGACCTATGGTAACATTTGGGTCAGTGGTCTGGTGGTCAAAACCAAACAGTAGTAAAAGTCATTGAACACTTCCTAAAACAGGCTTTCTCAACGGCTACAAGATGTATGACACGCTTTACATTTTCATATAGGAAACAGCACGGTACAGTACATTACAGGGACACAAACAAATTAGTCAACTACACGGATCACATAACAGAAGGTGATCAGCAAACTGAGGTTAGAACCAGTATACTAAGCCTGCCATTTGCCAGCTCAGTCAGCAACTTAAAAAAAACCTTTGCTACCTTAGTACCAGAGAGACGCATGGAATAAAGGCTCACCCTTAAAGATCTGACCTGGTATTCTGTATATATGTATATACAGCCCGTTCAGAGTAAAACCGAATATAGGGAAACGTATCGGGCGTTGCCTCGCCTCCCTCCAACGCGCGACACAGTAGCTAAGCGAATGTTAATGAGATTTTTTGCATTATTATCATTTAATTTTCAAGGTCGTCTTACCTGCTCGACCTTTCGAGATGTCGTTTATCACACAAGCTACTGTGACGCGCGTTGGAGGGAGGCGAGGCCACGCCCGATAGGTTTCACTATATTCGGTTTTACTCTGAACGGGCTGTATATATTCTTAATGTAAGACCGACTCTGGAAATGGAATGAGTATCCGCAGTCCTAGGACGAGCTTAGCTGTACCTGAGCAAGCTGGCCACGGTATATTAGGCTGAAACAATAGCCATACACCACTGGACTACAGACTGTTAGATGCTATGGTAAGGTCAAAACTAGTTTCAGGACCATTTACAGCTAAGACCCTAAATTAAGACATACCAAATATTTTATCATTCAAGACAGTTATTTTAATCTAATCTAATCTCATAAAATTTTTGAATCCTTCCAATATATTTTATCCTCTTCAAGAAATCATTACTGGAACTTTTTGATTTTGGCTTGTACATACTAAAGTAAAAACCAATAATATGATTTGATATACCTAAGAGAAAAAATATATTGGAAGAATTAAAAATGTACCTACCTATCTTTTCCTTGATATACTCCACCCAATACATATTCAGGGCAATCTTTCCCTTGTAAAATTCCATTTATGATTAAATTTTGTTTTCTTAATTCCCTAATCTTGTCCCTTCCACATAAAGCATATTCGTACTCTTTGATTCTTTCTTGATATTCTTTAAAACACGAACAAGTTGGTTGCTTCATGCCACCTACAATTGGTATGATTCTACCGCATGGATCAACCGAAGTACCTTAAATTAGTTTAAATATGTATTCAAAATGCATTATTATTTTTTTAATACAATAAATATAGTGGTCTATACGTTTCTCTGCTATGATAATTTATCTGGTTTGGTAATTGAAAATAATAATAAAGTGGGTTAACTGGGTTTCGTAAATAACGCGAATGTGTACATTGCAAGTACAATATGTACCCATGCAAAAACTAGCATAAATGTGTCCAAAAAATGTGCGTCTGGGGAATTTTTTTCCCCAAGATTTTTAGAAAAGGGTATACCTGAATAAATCATCGTTCCTGTTTCCATATTTCGTTTGGCTATACATTTGGCACAATTGCATTGTTTTTGAACAAAGTTTTCGTAATGTTTTCTACAAACTCTGCATTCGTTGGATACGATTTTAGGTTTAGGTGGTGGGTTTTCCAAACTTACAAAAAAATTATCGTCCACATAGTTTGATTGTCTTTGATTGGACTCTTCAAGCTTATTAAAGTATATGTCTTTGCATTTACATTCTAACTTAGGTTTAATACCCGTTATATTAAAAACAGGACCTAAAATAAATTTAAAAAAACTGTAAATACATTTATTTAAGGGTGTTTAGATTGCTTTGTATGGTTTTTTATTAAAGTTTACATTAATATATTAATGTAAACTTTAATAAGGATAAATGACAGGTCAGGTTTTACGAAACATTAACTGGTCGCCAGGGTCCCGTGATCTAACGTATTTAGATTTCTTTGTATGGATTTGTATTAATTTTTAGATTGCTTTGTATGTTTTTTTATTAAAGTTTACATTAATAAGGATAAATGTCAGGTCAGGTTTTACGAAACATTAACTGGTCGCCAGGGTCCCGTGATCTAACGTATTTAGATTTCTTTGTATGGATTTTTATTAATTTTTAGATTGCTTTGTATGGTTTTTTATTAAAGTTTACACTAATAAAGATAAAGGTCCTTCGGTCACTTCCCAGGCAACACAGTGACGTGAATATCACGTTTAATTTACGTCTACGGTGACGTCGAAGTCACCAACTTAGACACGTCTTATCGTCGTAAAATTGACGACAATATGTCACAGCGATTTCACGTGTAAAATTACGTAATATTACGTAATTATTTACGTAATTTGACGTGAATAATCACGTAATATTTCTTGAATAATATATGATTAGGTCATACACATAAAAATAATTACCGATACTGATATCAGATATTTCAATGCGAAATGTGATTTTGTCAAAATTAAAAAAACAAAAAATTTTTAGTGGTACTTTTAAATTTTAAGAAATAAATTGGTAAACCCTACTATATATAGTATATATATACTACTATAGTAGATATATATTTAGTAAATAATTAATAATCAAAATAAATGTATGTAAAAAAGTAGAATATCAAAAAAAAAATTGTAAGTTAATCTTTGTAGAAACACATACATATATCTGGCATATATCTGGCATTAAAATATCGGATATAAGAATAAATAATTATTTTTACCAGTGCATAAAGGGCTTTTGGTTTAATAATTAATAAAACATGTTTTAAGTTGCTCAAAACATTTATTAAAAAATCAAACACATTAAATTTTAAGACAGATGACAGGTCAATATTTTAGGAGCTTATGTAAGTACTTCATTTAGGTGTTATGACTTCGTTACGGAATATACTGAGTAATTAAAACATTAATAAACAAACAAAAATTGACCTACCTGACACAGCCAAAGTATTATCACCCATAATATAACAAGTGGTATGATTATCATCGATGATATTTTCGAATTGAAACCGAGCTGCAGATTTCACGAGTCCGCAGGACGAGTGAAATGTGCTGCTTCGGTTTCAATGAGTAAATATCTTCGATTATTAATCATACCACGAGTTATATTTAGTGAGAAAATATAATGAATTTTAGGAATTAAAAAATTTGTCAGATTGACATTTAAAATTAAAATGTGCTTTAAAATATAAATAGTATATTACACTACAAGGGCAGAAAGTGTGAGATTCCTGCACTGCGCGCCATGATGCCCGAGGCGAAGCCGACGGCATCATGGCGCGCAGTTCAGGGCTCTCACACTTTCTGCCCGTGAAGTGTATACTATTTTTCTTGCTACCCTGCAGAAAATACGGGAAAAAATTAAATGTATAAAAAAAAACTGTCAAAATTAAAATCTGACGTTTAATTTAATTCTGACGTTTACATTCAAAATCAATCAAACTGTAGCGTTGTCATGGTAATTCAGCGGTGCCAATACAGTAAAAATAAAAGGTTGTATTTTAATTAACAAATTACTACTTTATAACAAATAAAAGTACCATTAAACACTTAAAACAACATAAAAAGTAAAAAAGTAAAAACATAAATTGTTTATTTGTTGTTATAATTGCAAAATTATGGTTTAAAACTGACATATTTTTGTGTTTCTCATGTTGGCAGTACGAAATTTGAATGTTAAGCACACGACTAAAAAATTTTTACTCCCGCTATTAGAGTGTGCGCGTATAGCTTGACCAATGCAAGAAACGTAAACTTTCTGCCGTGAAATGGGGGACAAAACAACGTATTTTGAGTCGAGGTAGTAAGAAAAAGACTTTAATAAACCTTATTTATTCAAACTTACCTTAATTTCATTATCGTTTACACCAACCCATCGATCTTTTAGAGTTTATAATTCATTATTTCATTGATATATATCAAATACAGAATTTAAATGACAACAGATGTTAAATCAAAAAAAGTGTCAAAATTCTTAGTAACGTGTAAACAAGATGATAAAAATTATTGCCGCTGTGATAAAATACGTCACTATGGAATACTGGCATTTTATTGGTTCTAATATTAATGAATTGTATTGTCAGTATAAATGGTTTGTTCTGTGTATAAATGCCACAGATTATAAAAGTTGGACGCTTGAATCAACCATATTGTTTTTTAGGAATAAACGTTCCCTCGCTTTGTAAGTAGTGCCAACTTACCCAAGGCCAAAGAGAAACAGGGTTGCCAGGTGTAAAAATTAATATTATCGAAGAGGGTTGACAAAATGATCAAATTTACAGAAAATTATATAAAATTATCAAAACAAAAATTGTATAAAAACAAGCAAAACTACGCGGCGGATTAAATTATGTTACAATTATCGATTATTATTTAAATTTTACTATTTTAAAAAAGAAAATTATAAAACATCTGGCAACACTGTAGATAAATAATTTTACTAAAATTAAAATTGTGATTGTCAACTGCATTAACATGTTAATTTCTTATTTTGTGATAAAATCGCGAATTTGTTTTAAAAAATCCATTGATCAATAATTATTAATCTATCTTTAAAACCAAATAATGTTTAAAATTATTTTAATAAAATATTGCACGTTGATTCTCCGTCGAAATAACGTAAATTAAATAAAAATAATAATTTTTGTTTTTAAAAATATTCCAAAACTTTTTGTTTGTTTTCATAGGTATTTTCTTAAAAATTTCGTCATCTGTTCACGTGATAATGACGTCATTTATTGGTTATCATCGACCTAAGTTAATAATTGGTCGTGTTTTGGTGAATTTTGAGACGTCGATAAATGGTTGAAATGTAACTTCGACCAAATTCGACCCAATTCGTCGACGATTCTACGTGATTTCTACGACCCTGTGTTGCCTGGGTTATGCCAAAGATTCATCGAAATTTTTTCCGAAATTGTCTTTCATTATTAAGTGCCATCTATAAAAATATCGTACAAATTACTAAAATAAACCTTCCATTTCCAATATCCAAATAATTTTCAAAAAAATGTTATTTTTAAATAAAACATTTTTGACAACTAAAATTGAAATTTTGTAATACCTTCTTTTGTAATTGAAACCCCTCCAATAACATGTTTTACTTCTTTTTGTTCTCTTAACGCCCTTTTAGCCAATTTCATAGCTTTACTATACTCAAACTCCTCTATCCTTTTATTATATTCATCCAAACACTTACATCTTCTTATACAAACCCCGCTTATAATAGGTACAATTCCTTCGGACGTTTCTAGTGTTCCACCACTTACAAAGAACGGATTTTTTCTCCTGTCAGTCGCTTGGCATTGCTCACATTTACACTGTCTATCGATAAACTTTTTGCTTTCGTTTTTACAATCGCATTGTCTTTCGCAAGGTTCCTTAGGTTTTTTTACAATAGCGTTCTCAGGCACTTTATCCTTCACATCGTCAAAATTTTTTACATCAAAAGTGGCCAATTCTTTGCGAAAATCTTCTAGAGTAAAACCTTCTCTGTTATAAGTAGGATTAACAACACCTCCCAGTATATAAATAGGTCCTTCCGGAGTGCAAACCACACCCACTACCATAAGTTTACTATCTTGACTTTTTATGTTTAATCTTGTTTTGGCCAAGACCTTTTCCTTCTCCCATTTTTCTATTTCTTTATTGTAATGATTCAGACATTCGCATTTATTTTCTCGTATACCCTGTATAACTGGTATCATGTGACCGCTTGGAGTCAATTTGCCTCCTCCTATTACAGGTGATGCACTTGTGTTGGGCATGTAGCATAAACATTTGTCGGGGTATTTTAAATCTGGTGGTTTGGTCCAGCAGGGAATTTCCTTTTTTTCTGAAAATTTGATGTTATGCTTCAATGTTTTGTTGGCAAACATTGTATTATTAAATTAAATAATTTGTGTTGGCCAACACTGTATAATGTAGATTAAATTTAAATAGCTTTATTACCCTCTGATATTATTTCCTTAATTTCCGTTTCTTCAGTATTTAGTGTATTACATTGATTAAGGGCATCTTTAAACAAGGTATCGTCCGCTCTCTTTTCAAGAGATTTCCTTTTTCGACTGGTGGATTTTCCTTTAACCGAGCCATTGTTATCTATATCTTTAAATTAAACATAACATTAATACTATAAAATACGGTGGTTTAAGATCATTTAAGTGGATATATCAGGTGCTGATTTAAAAAAATATTTATTTTGCTAAATCAGCTCTTGCTTTTGTTATATGGAGTGATTTATCTAAAGTTTTGCCTTTATATGGGTGGGTAAATTAAAATGGATTATTTATTAACAGATCTTAAATTACCGGTCCTTTTTTATGTTTCCTTTTATAATAAAACTTTAAACAAACCTTTCTTAGACTTGGATTTAAATTTTTTGGGTTTTTTTATTTTTTTTTTGTGCTTTACATCTTTTTTGTTGACTTTGTTATCTTTATCCTCTGCTCCCTCAGTATTACAAAGTAATTCCGGAACGTAAATTGATGGTTTTAATAGGTTAACGCCTTTTTCGATCTGATTTGTTTCATTGTAAGTAACTTGAGCTACCTTTGTTTCCTCAATTAATTCCAATTCTTTTTCATCTTACAAACAAATTATTTTAGCATAAGAATTTATTACAGTCCAAAATTAAAACGACCTCTAAACCAGAAACCAGACAAACACTTTTTGACGAGCTGAAAGCAGAATTGCTCCATAACATTAGGATTTAAAGAAATTTTATGAGGTAATTTTTGTAGTGCCTAGGGATTTAATACTTTTCAACTAAAGATATCTCTGAGAGGTTAAATAATTAAATGGTTTTGATAGGAAAAACTTAACATAATTAAATATTTGGATGGAGAAAAAAAGCCTCGTAATGTAAACAACTCTAAACCTAGTAAAAGCGGTTTTTCTGTTTTAGGTAAGAATTTCTCAAAAATTCTTATGGAACAATTTTAAGGTCATCTCGTCAAAAACCATAAAAGAATTTCTCAAAAATTCTTATGGAACAATTTTAAGGTCATCTCGTCAAAAACCATAAAAGTAATATTATAGTCTGGTTTCTGTCTTATCTATAACACTTTCTTATAAATACCTTTAATATCATCAATTTTAATTTCAAATATATCTGTATTGTTTTTAATATCCTTCCTCTAAAATATGAATTAAAATTATTTTATCCACATAGCTTCAAAACTTAAGTTGCATAAAGAAATAATTCTATATGAATACGATGGGTGATGCATAACTTTTGAAACTATTATAAATAAATTATTTACCATGTTTGGAATATAGTTAAAGTATGGTATGTATGGTCTAAATATCCTTTTTATGCGGCAATGTTTTTTTGGTGTCATTTTAAAAACTACCCTTTCCAAATATGGTGATTTAGGAATTGTTCGTTTTGTTCGTAAAGGATTTTTACTATTTTTTCGTGGTGGCTTTTCTAGTTCTGATTTTTTAGGTGGTGAGGGTATTCGAACGTGTAATTCCCTCAAAGTATTTTCCATTGATAAATGAACAACTGATGAAATTAACAACCTAAAAAATATATTAAATATCGTACATTTTAGAATTAAATTTAAAGTAAGTGTAAGTATTATAAGGGGCTTATTGTAATAAGTCTCGAAAATTTCCTATTCAAACAACATGTGGTTGTGTTTTTTTGGTACGAGTTTTCGTAGCACTTTTTCCACTCCGATTAAGGTACCTTTAAACAACTTTTTTGTGTGTTTTTACGGGTACGAAATTCCTAGGCAATTTTTTAATGGGTTCCCTGACTCAAAATAATTATGGGAAAGGATTCGGTTAGTATTTTTTGCCATGCTATAATTTTTTTAAATCATTTTAAGAAATTTAAGTGAAATATTTTAACGACTAAATCGCCACACCGTAATACGCAGACAAACCCCCTAGGACAAACATGTCCAGGGACTTTAAAAAATAAAAAATATTATAAAATGCTCTAAAAATCTTACCTATCATTAATAGAATACTGAGTCCTTTTAGGATTAATAAAATTATAAAGCTGCAACAAAAACTCCTCGGGCACGCCACAACTCAATTTCAAAGCCTTTTCAATGCATTTAGGATTTGGTCGAAGCACCAAACCTAATTTTGCCACAAAATGTTTGCACCTTTCTATTGAATTACAGAGCAAATCATACTCAATACATTTTCTTAAAGTTTCCAAAAGTACTAATTGTTTTGGAGAGAGTTCCTGGAACCACTCTGGCCCTGCCATTTCTTGTAGAATTGCATGCCTATTATCAGCTAAAAATTAGGAATCTAGTATTTATTAGGTAACAGTGCGGTTTGCTTAATTTAAAAGTATTAACTACAGTTTCGCGAAAGGTTCGAACGGTCGATTTGCAAGGGTTCAAGAAATCGATTTAAACTTTTTTACCTTATTTCTACATCTAAATGCAGTACTTTTTTCAACAAAAAAATCTCGTCCATTGACCACTTTTCATTTTTTTAAATAACTTTTTTATTTTAAAACGTATCGATTTGAAATTTGGACAAAATGTAGATCTTACTAAATTTGTTTAGATTTTAACATACAGGGGGCGCTGGTGATAATTTAAATTAAAATTTAACAATTTTTAAAGGGTAAATAATCGAAGAAGCAACTTTGTTTTATAAATTTGAGTATAACACGTAACATTTGAGTATAACACGTAACATATGTTATATAAATATATATTTGACTATTATTTGATATATTAACTTTTTTATGCAAATGATGTTTCTGTGGCCAGGATCAGTTTTGAATGAGCAGTATTCATAAATTTTTAGTTTAGTACAATGTAAAATTTTTATACAAATTTCTTGTATCTTTTATTAATAATTAAGTATAGCATAACACATAAATGACATTTAATATACAGGGTGTTTCACGTAGGTAGTCCATTAGAAGTTTCTAGGGAATTGCTAAAGACATCGATTTAAATTTTAATTAATTAATAAATTTTAATAGCGTAAATTATTCGATTTAGACTTTTTTCCTAAATTATTTTGAACAAAATAATACTTCATATTTACCGGAAATGTCTTTAACTTTGTTATTTTAAACAGGACACCTTATATATTTTTACATTTATGAATTCCACAAAACTCTGAGTAAAATGGCTATACCATATCCTATACCTAAAGTCAATATTTTTCGAGTTATTAATTTTTCTATAAAATATTTTAATTAATTTTAAACAATGACAGATTAAGTCGTAACCATGGATACTGTCACATTAACCCACATGTAGAATTTCACAGGTTTGTTGATACAAAAGTTTTGAAAATATTAGAAATTGTTAAATGTCTCTGAAATTTTAACTTTACGACAGTTATTATAATACGACGAATTTTCTATTTGAAATCCATATCGTTTGCGTTTCTCCAGAAACACCCTGTATAGCATTATATTAAATATAAAGAAATGCAAAATAACTAATTACTAAAACAACTGAATAAAAAATACATATATAAAAATAGCCGATCGCAACATAAAAAATAAAGTCTTTTCTAATTTATTTATTGGGTAAATATTACATTCCTCAGTTTGGAATTAAAATTGAAGCTTGCTTATCGAGCACAAAAATAAATTAAAGCTTGGTTGTGGGGAAAAAATAAAATTAAAGTAGGTTATAATTTTTAACTTGCTGACACTGTCTATAATTATTATTTAGTTTATTTATTTTAATAAATTAATGTTTTGAGTTTACTCAAGTTTACACTAGTGGCTGCCTTTTCACTTGTACCATGGTTAACCATGGAATACCATGTTATCCCAAAATTTAACAGCCAATTCTTATGTACAATTGTCCCCTGAAGCCGAAAATGTCCTCAAAAGTTAAAAAACAGTTTTCGAGATATAGTCAATTTTCCATTTAATATGGAATTGACTATATCTCAAAAACTGCTCCACTTTCAAATTTTTGACGGTGTTTTCGGATTCAGGGGACAATTTTACATAAGAATTGGCTGTTAAATTTTGGGATACCATGGTATTCCATGGTTAACCATGGTACAAGTGAAAAAGCAGCAACTAATAACTATTAAATTAGTCATTTTTGACTAATTCATTTTTAGAGAGTATAGTACCTACACTAATAAATTGAAACGCAATCAGTCATTTGCAACTGTCATATTATCTTTCATGCTTACAATGGTAGGTTACCATAGAGAAAAGTTTATATTGCCTACTATTATCAAAATTAGTAAACTTGAAAAAATTTTAAATTTATAAATAAAAGTTATGGCGATTTTTTAAAATAAATGTTATAAAAAATATATTATATGTAATATATAATAAATAATATGTAATAAATAATACATTATCTTATAAAACTAGATAAAAGAATATATACTTTGTAAAACACGTTAGTATTATGCCCTTTGAACTTAAAAATGATGTATCTCGTAGAAACATAATTTGCATGTAGAAGTTTATATATCAAATAATAGTTAATTATCAGTACTTTAACGTGATATTGTCAAAATTATAAAACGTTGCTTCTTCGATTTTTTAACGCTTAAAAATTGGTAAAATTTTAAATTAAATTGTCCCCAGCGCCCCCTGTATGTTAAAATATAAAAAAATATTACGTGGATTTATTGGTATTAAGTTGTCTATATTTTATCTTAATTTCAAATCGATACGTTTTTAAATAAAAATGTTATTACAAAATATCGCAATTTATCTATTTTTAACACAGTAGAGTGACTTAAGGCCTGAAAACCACAGCGGTCAATAGATAAAATTTTTGTTTTGAAAAAAATGCACCATTTAGATGTAGAAACAAGGTTAAAAAAATATATTCAATTCTTCTTGCAAACAAATGTCCAAAATTTGTTCGATTTTTACGCGAAACCATAGTTAAGTTGTTTACTTGATTTGCACTTTGACAAACATTTTTTACTTCCAATAGAAAACTCCTTCCTTAAGTTTGAGCTCTTCATTATAACCCGAACATCGATCTAAACAATTTTAACAGTTTTTCCATAACAGGCATGTACATTTTAATTTTTTATAAAGAATTTGCTTATCTTCAAAAATATTATTTCAAACATTATGAACGACTTGTGACCTCGTAGAGGACAGACGTGCACTCGAATGCTTCTAAAGTGTATCGAATCATAATAAAAGTCTAAAGAGACATTAAAGTTCAGTGTATTAAGAAATCTTCAATGTAGGTACCTGACTTCCTAAGGAGCCAAAACAGGAAAGGGTCAAGTGGATCGTAGCAATAAACGATAAGTAACATAGCCTAAGACCGCATAATTAACTTTGCCTTCTTTACTAATAAGTAATCTTGCAGTTTCTATCCCCTTTAGAAGGGGTTAAGCTACATCAACGCATCCAATCCAGCGACGAAAACAATAAAACAGACAAGTAATAACCCCACAGGACAGCAAACGTAAATTATTTAAATCGGTACAAAACAATTTCAAACTAGCAGCAAAGCTCAAATAGCTCAAGTACCAAACGAAAAATTCAGGCTAAAGTAGCCTAAGTAGGCGATACAAACACTAAGCAAACAGTCGCCTTAAAACGCAATAAAACGCAGGCATGGTAAAAAAACACATACTGATGAGAAGTTAATGGATTACGCACAGTGGGGTAAAATAATTTATTTATATCTATTTCCTATATTTTTAAATTCGTAAAATAACGACTGACTAAGTATGTTGTAAGCAGTTGAATCTTCCTTAAAGTCAGCTACATATTTGAAAAACCCGACGTGATTGGGAATACTGAAGACAAGTTAACAGCCTTCGCAAAGTGGGGTAAATAATTTGTGTATAGCTGTTTCCTATGTTTTTTGGACTATTAAAAGAACGACTGGCCGAGTATGGCTAAATCTTCTTTTAAGTCAGTACTTGGAATGAGTAGTTGAATCTTCCTTAAACTGCTTATTTTGAACATTTCGACATGGACGAAGAATCTATTTCAAAGTCAGTTGAAAGGGAAGGAACAATCCGACATGGACACGGACAAGTAACCCTGGCGAAAATAAAGCGTGCACGAAAAGTGTGCAATAAGTGTGTATTTAGAGTGCAAGTCTTTATAACAATGCGCATAGACGCTATTTTGTGGTAATTTCACACTTTTTGAAATAATTTAGTTTTTTCACTCTTTATGCACATTGACATCACGCTTTTTATTTGTCACTTGTCGCATATATTAAATTATTTTTTTGAACATTGTTTGCACAGTTTTAGTACATTGTTTAAAGACAATTTTGCAAAGCTTCAGTCTATCTTACGCATGTCATATTTTATACACACGCTTTATTATTTCTCATTTATCACGCTTATATTACACCTTTTTATAGCACATTGTTTGTACAGTTTTAGCGATCACTCAACTGTTTAAGAACATTTTAAATATATCTCGCTTGTGTTGTGGTAAAACATTTATTTAAAGGAAAAGGTAGATATCATCTTATGTATCGCTTCTCGGCAATCCCCGTCGTGGAGTTGACAGTTCCGGTATTTTTCTTAATAAAATACATGATAGGAATGTTAAACCTACATTGTGGGTTTTTTTTTTAAATTTTTTGAAAAGAACCTTTTTATTAGGTTAGTATTAATATTATTATTAGGATATTTATTTATTGATTAAATAAATTTAAAAGACTTTAGAGGTCACCAAAAACAACAGAAGGTGGCAAGAAACAGTGTGCAAACAATGTGAAATATCAAAAGGAGTTCCCTTTAGAACATTGTCCAGTGATTATTCACACTTGTAAATTTTTGGTTTTGCACATTGTTTCATGTTCCATTTCCCACCCTCTGCACATTGTTCTCAAATAATTTTGCACACTTTTTTCACATTTAATTTTCGCCAGGGAAGGACAAGACGTAGACAATGACTAGAAAAGATAGGCCCCCACAGCGAACTAACTACGCCCCAACTGCAAACAGTAATCCCAAATGTTTAAAGTAATACTAACGTCTCGGTCAAGGACAATTCCGCAGCGAAATTTCCGCTTCGTACACAAATTTGAGTCGGCTTAATTGCCCCTAAATACTTAAATGTCTATCCACTCCATCCCTACCTTGTTTATGATCCTACTGGGCGTATAGCAACGGCGCGGCAAACCCGGTAGGGGTTACCACAAACTATTGGCATGTCGCTCTCGAGACCAAAATAGGCTACAGTACTAAACGAAACAAAAGCGGCATAGGGTAATTGATAAACTTGCGAGGCTTGGGAAAGATGAGGCAATGGGGTTACACGACTCTCATATCATACTCATTTAGAACGATTAGGGCCTATGTTTTAATCTATTAAATATCTTATTTTTTGTTATGTTTTTGTTTGTTTACTTACATTTCTTTTTTCTTCCTTGTTGCTTTTCCCTTTGTGCATCAAAAACGTGGGCTTTCAAAAATTCCTGCTGTTTATCAATTTTTCTGTTTATTATTTCATTTTGGTACTCATAACAAGGAGGTCTGCTGTGCGAATATGAAACTTTTCTTTTAATTTTAGGCTTTTTTGCTGTAACATACGTAGCAGTGGTTTGCCTGACAGAAACCTTTTTGTCACCCACATCAAATTTTGCGTATGTTTGTGAAATGTTATAGTCCAAACAATACCCCGAAGGAGGCCTAAAAAGTTCTATGGCGTCTTTTTCAGGTTTTTGAATCATTTTTTGGACTTTTGCCACTTTTCGACAGGGAAAAAATTTGTCCAAAAGGTCTTCATTTGGAATTTTTGTTTTGACCAGAGCTGCATGAGCAAAAGCCATTGAAAATTTGGAAAAATAATTTTGACTCTTATTTAAAACAAATTTCATAAACAATGCCAAACTGACAAAAGTATAAGATACAGGGATAATGATTTAAATTATTTTATTTATTTTATTATATGTGTTATTTACATTAATGCAATAGTTTGTTATTCCCCTTAATGTGTGAATTACTTTTATTAATTCTAAGAATATTTTATTTACTTAAATTTGCATTTATCTATAAAAGCAAAACATTTAATCCTACTATTATTAAGTTTGTATCTAACAAAGTACATATTATGAAGTCAGCTATGTTTATATTAATGGCCTTAGCCATTGTTGTTATGGTATGTATGAATAACTAATATTTTTGGTAGTTTTTTTTTAATTAAATAAATAATATTTTAAAGGCAAAGAAAAGGACAAATGAAGAGATAGAACAGCTCAAAAAATGGCACAGTGAATGCGGAGAAGATAAGGAAACTAAAGACCTTTTGAACAAAGCAAGAAATGGAGAATGGATCGATAACCCAAAACTTGGAACTCATTTGTTGTGTTATTCCAAAAAATTAGGTAAATACAATTTGTTTCATATTGTTACATATTAAGTTACAGTAAAATTTTCACGACCCGAACCTCCCAGACTGGATATATTCACTAAGTAGAATTTTTTGTGAACACTGATTTTTTTCTCATTTAACATATATTTTTATCTCTCTTGTCGAAGTCGAACTAGAATTTTTCCAACGCTAGTTTTCTTAAATTTGAACTTGTTTACCGGTCCCTTTTATAAATTCCCGACTGATAGACAAAATTGTTTTTGTCTACCTCAATAGTCCAGCGTAGTGGGGATTAGAGGCTGGCTGTATTGTTTTGATTTTAATTTCGATGCATGCAGAGTGCACTCTTATCCTTTCTATGATTCTATTGTTTTTCTGTTCTATTGTTTAACCATAAACAAAGACTATACGTTGAACTTTATTATTTAAATTATTAAATATTACTCCCAAAAAATGAGTAAAATAGAAGACCCAATTGTATATCTGTGCCCCAAAATTTTATTGGTGCGCTTGATATTGTTACCTTTAAAAATAAAATGGACTTAATACTGTATGGCTTTGATAATGGACTTAATACTTAAGTGACTTAATACCAAAATTTGCTAAACAGATGTTGACTTAATCAGAGCTGCAAGCTTTCAGAAAACTTAAATAGTTTTTTTTATTTAAATAATTTTAATTACTTAAGTCATTTGATTTTAAGTCATTCCTCGAAAGCTTAATTAAGACTTAAAATTTAAGTAATTAAAATAAAGTTTTACTTAATATTTTTTCAGAAATAGAAAGTCTAAAAAAAAAGATTTAAGTCTTTATTTTAGAAAAGATTTAATCTTTTTAGTTATCTTTTAATTTGGGTAAGTGAGATTTTTCATATATTTTTCTGATAAATTTTTAACAGTGGCATTTTCTTTTTAAAAGGTGTTCACGCATCGGCAGATCAAAAACTCCTTTAATTTTCCACCGACACGGTAAAGCTTTTCGGAACCGTTAAACATTAAAGAATTGTCATTTTGTTTGCCAACATTTGTCGCGTGCGTAGTGGACTCTGATGTCTTTGTCAGGTGAATCCCCGACCACGTTGTATCAACGATGTGGCTCCCGTCCCGAGGCGGGACTTAACTTCAATCCCGACTGACGTCACACATTTTTATTCCTCGAGAGTTATAAAATTAATGTTAAGCTGGATGGCTCAGATGGTAGGGCGGTCGCTTGGCATAGGAGTGTTACCGGGTTCGATACTACTAGAAGTTGTCGAACTTTTTTTTTTTATTTTATAAATTTGTTGTTCCTTTGTTAAAAAATGTTGGGTTGGTTTGGTTAATTTGTTTTAGTTTTATCGTAACATAAGAAATCTTAAAATTATGACGTTACTCGGGGCTGAACTTAAATCCTGCCTCGGGACGGGAGCCACAGCGTTGTATCAACCGAAAGACAAACGAGGATCGGTATTATTTATGTGGCTGATTAGAGATTAGTTGTGCCGCTTTGCAAACAATTAAATTTTATTGCTCCCATCGAAATATTGTTTTATTACGCCACATTTATCAATTCTCCTAAGTGTAGGCAACATGTTTTGTTTGACAAAAATTTTGAAAACCTGGTAATAATAAAAGCCAATAAAATATAATTCATTATCTGATACATTATACAAAGTGACCACTTTTTAATGAACATGTATTCGGAAACTTCGGAAACGGCTATGGACAGGATCCTATAAAAAGTTTAAACTGAAAATTGCATTTTTCTTAAAATCGCTTTATTTAAAAAAAAATTCATAATATTTCAAAAACCAATAAAAATAAATCCTAAACCTCTTTTTAATATGAGCATCAAAGACACAACTTTTAAGTAATTTAACAGTTTAAGAAAAATTCAATTTTCAGCTTCAACTTTTTATCTAATTTAACAGAGTTTAAATCTATTTGCGTTTGGATTCTAAACTTTAGAAGTTTCCCATCTATGTATATAAAAAACCCTCCCTTAGTATGTCATTGTCTACTGTATACTAAAAGATGTTTATATTTTATGTTGTTTGTAAAATAAACCGTTGTAAATTCTTCACAAAGTGATTTATTCTCATCTGTATCTACAATAGATTAATATAGAGTAATAATTATCAGTAATACCATAAAATTATTATAAACATTTAAAAATAGCTACTTAAATTGAATTCTCGTTGTCTTGACTTAAGGGTTATTATTTTGAATTAAGTCATTTATTCCATATTACCATAGAAATTGTTAACAATTATCACACTGTGCCTTTTACAAACATCCATATAAAATTCTTTTTTTATCAATAATTCTCTTATTTCTTTAAATATATCAAGAATTGAATCAATATTCTCATTTTATTGCATCCATGCATTACAAGGCCAATGGCTGTGGGCAAACTTATTTCCATATATATTTATTTCAACCATCCGTTGTGGAAATTCCTTGAAACTTACTCAACCTGATGTAGATTTGGTTTATTTGATACCAGCGTCACAAGTCCCAAGTTACTTATATTTATATATTTATATTTCAAACTGTTTCCATAAAGCAAGCGACCGGCTCGAAGAACAAAACCCGAATCCTATTTTAAGTTCTATAAGCACCTTTAACATAATGTAAGGGCCGTATTTGGGTTGGTGTGGGCCCTGAGGCCAGTTGATGGTGGGCCCTTTACCAAACGTAATAAGTTTCTAGAGTAAACAAAAATGAAACTGGAGTATTTATTATTTTGTTAATTCAATTTAATTGAAGCGCTTCCTACAAAACATCCATAGTCCAAAAATCTATTGTTAATTATTTTTAATTTAAAACAATCATATCTTAAAAACTTATCAACCTGTGATATTTGAACCTAATGATTTGTCATAAACATATCTATCTTTTTGATGTCGTATATATTATCTTGCTAAATTAACGATTACTGCCTCAAAATATTAATATAAAATATAAGTATACGTAAATAACAATTTGGACTAGGGATTTTTTTGTAAGAACCGCCATCATTGAAAAAAACAATGTATTTTTTACAAAATGTTTGTAATATCAATAATCATCCGTATTACATGTATAAATATATACATAATGTATCATACAGTTTATTTATCCTAAACATAACATAATGTTGTTATGTTCAGGATAAAGATTTGGATTTTATTATGCTGTAAAACTTTTTAGACATAGGTGAATCACGAAGAATGTCGAAAACGCTGCAGTTTTGCACATTGTTTTTTATTATAATTACTAAGCAATACAGAAATTTCCCCCGGATTCACCGATTGGCTGTTCAAAAAGCTTTGTCAATTCAGCGAGTGCAACCAATTTATTACCAATAGTCGATTTTTGTAGAATTTGTAGATTTGTAGATTTTTTAGATTTTTTTTGCAATTTATTTCGAGGTCTTGTCTTGTCTTTCGCAAAAACTTAAAAACTGCCACCAAGGGCGTCGCCAGCCAATGGACCAGGAGAGTGGCAAGATAATAGATCGAGAATGGTGGATTTCTCCAAGTTTTTTTTTTCGATTTTTTTGTCCAATTTTGTCCATTTACCGGAAACCGAAATTTGGGGGAAGTTGCTGTTCCTTGAAAATTTGGCAAACAAAAAACACAAATTGAATAGTAAAATTACTAAAATATAATCATCATCGAATTAAAACAAAATGACCGGTCAATAGTTTTTTGACATTAAAAAAATAATTAATCGGCTTTTAAGCCGATTTAAAAATTCGTTTCATTAGATGAATTTAAATACTTTTTTACCCAAAATGGTTGATCCGTCGAAAAAAATGTTAAAATATTTTCTTAATTACTCTCTATCCCCTTGGCGACGCCCATGATGGGTACTAAACATTTTTAAATTTAAATAAATATTAAGCCAGGAAAATATAATATACAACACACAGTAAGTTTTACTGTAAAATAATCGCCTTGTCTATTTTTTTTTGCTTGTTGACTACGAATTACGAAATTTCCGACACTATAAGGCTTAAATACCAAAAATAATCAATGAGTACAAAAACGACAACAACGCGTTGTGGCATCTTTAAATCATTCACAACCCGAAATTCGTGTTGGAACTTTTAAAATCAGTCACAGCGCGTTGTGGCAATTAAGAAAATTTTTAAAGATTACATGCTACAGAATTTTCTTCAAAAACATTTATCCTTTTGGCTGAAGGAAACATGTCTCCGTTTGAATTTGAACAGCGCTTGGGCAAGTCGATTTTTGTACCAAAGCCTACTCTCTAAAAATGTCAAAAATAACTAATTGTCATAGCAAAAAAACAGCCAATATTAATTCTCGTCAATTTTATCCCGAACATTTTATCCCGAACATTTAGCAGTCAATTTTCATTTAAAATTGTCTCCTGAATCCGAAAATGTCGTCAAAAATTATAAAAGTAAAACAATTTTTGAGATATAGTCAATTTTCCATATAATATAGAATTGACTTTTGAGATAAAACTGCTCTACTTTCATAATTTTACATAAGAATTGGCTATAAATGTTGGGGATACCATGATATCCCCCATGGTTAACCTTGGTATCACAGAGTCCTTTGTGCATGGTATAATTAAAAAAGCAGCCACTATTAACTGTAGGTATACAGTTACTATACTAGTCATTTTGACTAATTTATTATTAGAGAGTAATTTTATGTACCAAATATTTCAAGGATATTCTTGGTATTTGCAAGAAAATAATGTGGAAATCGATAGCGCTTTAGAAATCGATAGCGCTTTAGATATCGTAAAAAAACTTAATAATAAGTTAATTAATTAATTATTCAAAATGTGTGCATTTAGAGGCATGATTTATTGTAAACTTTTAAAGGTACATTATTTTTTTTAATCATATAAGTAATAATAAATTGCTTTACCAAGTTTACTAATACTTTTATAATTGTAATTCCTAAAATATTTTCTATAGGTATTATAGAAACTAAGTGCTATATTTTTGTTAGGTTGGCTGAATGAAGAAGGAAAATTCGATGTACACGAAACAAAGAAAAATTTTGAAAAATACTATGACGAAGACCAAGTCCAAAAACTAATGTCCAACTGCATTAAAGAAAAAACCCATCCAGAAGATACAGCTGTGGCTTTATTTAAATGTCGCCAAACCGTTTTGCATTAATAAACTAATAGCTAAATAAGAGTTGATCGTAATAGCAATAAAAGTACCATTTTGGTTAATGGAAATAAAATGTTTACAAAGCTTACAGAATATTTCAATTATGAATATTTTTTTAAATTGCAATAAAATTTTAAAAATAACTTTAATTTTGTTTTTAGAGCCTAGGCTTTTGGGGGGTTTGAACCCCCCGAAATGTGAGAAACAGTTGTGATTTGAAATTTTTTAGAAATCCTAATAACCTAATAATTTTATTTTATTCTTATATTTTACCAACACTCCCCCCCACCGAAATTTTTTTCTGCCTACGCGCCTGAATGTGTTTACAATTATGCTGCCCTAATGTTTTTATAAAATATTAATTGAGGTAATTTACTTTTCCACCAACATTACCCTATAATATTTTTTTAATGATTAAACTTTGAACTTAATAAAAATAAAGAAATAATGTCCAAACACACACCTTTGATGCAAAACCATTAGATTATTAAAGCACATATTTAATCGTCTTAAAATGTCTGCCAAAAAACTAGTAACTTTTATTGTTCTTGTTTATTTTGCCAAATATACATTTACTAAACTTTTGCCAATTAATCATATGAGAACAAAACTTGGTTCAATTTTTAGTTCAATCCGTTCATCATTTACAGACTGGAACATGTGCTTATACGTAGGAAGAAATTCTTATAGATTCAACAATGAAAACGTATGTCCTTATATGGTGCTTGATAAGCAATTAAACAAACTGAATGGGACTTATTGGCCATTAATAAATTTTGCTTTTGCTTTTTTGGATAAACCTGATGATATCAACAAAACATTGTCTACACTGCTTAGCACAACGATTTGGAATCCCAGGCAAAAAACTATATTTATTATTTCAGAGACACCCAAAGATTTTCCAGTGGCTAATTTTATGAAGTTTTTATGGTCATATAATTTAATTAAATTTATTGTAATAATAGGTTACGAGGATTTTCATATTTATACATACAATATGTTTGCCGATAACAAAGTAATCAACCTTAAAGTAAATGAAGTAGGAGAATATTTTACCAAAACAAACTTGAATTTTAATTTGCATCCTTTAAACGCAATTCTTTTTAATTACAAACCAAGTTTGTTTAAAGTTGGGAACCAATGGAAAGGTACAGATTACGGAATATATCTTACATACGTAAAAATGTTAAATGCTTCAGTGCATTTATTAGAGTGTGATTTTTTTGACACGGCTTTTGATAATATTAAACATGGAGTGGGTGATATAGTAATTGTTAGTCATTTTAGAACCAACCGAATTAATAATTTTGATATTAGCTTACCAACTGCCATGGACAAATTGGTATTGCTAATACCACGTACAGATGCTGTAAATTTTGAATATTTTTGGAACGAAGAAAATTATTATTTTTGTTTGGGAATCATGATCGTATTCATGTGTGTTGTGGTAGTCCTTAAACTTATGAAGTGTGAACATACTGTTTTGACCGCTTGGAGAATATTATTTCAATCTAGCGTGCCACAATTGGACCATATAAATGGAAAACTAAAATGGTTTTTAGGATTATGGATTATTACAAGCCTTATTATGTCTAATGTGTTTAGTAGTACTTTGTCTAGTAGCCTTTTAGCGCCAAAATATAAATCCAAATTAAATACTATAAGAGAAATAGTATCATTAAATGTAACTATAAGAGTTTTACCGTACTACAAAAAGTTGGTTCCTGAAGAACTAGAACTTGAACCTTTATTGGTTGCAGACAATACTTTTACTGGCCAAGAGGTTACTCCAAACAATTATTATTTAATGCGACAGGACATGGCAGAATATTACCAGGACACTGTTTTTGGACCCGACGGTGATCCTTACTTTTATATTTTGGATGAAGCAGTTACATACGGATTTCAATTTTACATCTTTCAAAAAAACTCACCGTACTTAAATATAATAAACAAAATTATGCAATACGAGAAGGAGTTCGTTCTTAGTCGACCATTCCTAAATAAAAATAACTACGAACAGAAAAATAAAAATTTGAAAAGTAGAAAATTTACTTTTACCACAGAATTGCTAATGCTTCTAAATCTCTATGGTTTTTGGGTTTTGGTATTTATAGGCGAAATTATTGCATTCAAATATAAATTGTATTAATATTACAGCTTAATTTAAATTTACTTTAAGTAGGGAAGACCAGTATATTATCTTTAATAAAAAGTATATCAACAATTTACAATTTTATAAAAAATCTTTAGACTAAACGTTTTTTTATTTTATTTTTACGTTTATTTACCTCATAACCATATGGGTTTGATGGTATTAAAAGATGCCCTTGTTTAAAATTGTTTATTAAACATTCATAAGTAAAAACAAAATATAACTCTATGGTTGCAATATAAGCCAGCAACCTCACTTCCATTATAGTCAAACTCATACTGAAAAATTTCTTCATCACTATTTTATAAAATATTTATATTTATGTTCTTTTTTGCTGTTTTAGCTCCTTTTTTCTTAATTTTTTTACGACATTCTTCTTTTTTTCAGCAATGTTAGAAGTATTGTTAATATGTTATTCCTAATTTTCCTTTCTTTGATATTTTTCTGGATTTTTCTTTGTGTTAATAATAATAATTATTTTTTTAAATTGGTAATTACCACCCATTAAAATTGGTAATTACCACTCCGATCCAGCCCGTTTGTATTGGTTGGTGTTACAGTGAATGCGCTGGTGTTCCTGCTAAAATAAAGAATTTAAAATGGGACATTTGTATTTAAATTTAGATATTTATCTACTTTAAATATTTAAAAAGTTTGTTTTAATGTTAGAGTTCTGATTATTTTTATAAAAACATTTGTGTTACTTATTTGAATAATAAATATTTATTAGTTATTATTTATTAGTTTTATTTGTTACTCAAAAACAATAAAACACAATATAATAATTGTTGTTTTATATTTTTTTACCTAGGTGTCCATCATAGGGAAATATGGATTATTAATAGGGCTATCATAGGCTACCATGTTCCTATGATGACTACTTTGCGAAAAAATTATTAGTTCCTTTCAATATCATGTAAATTTATGTAGATCTTTATTTTTTTAAACAAATATCATTAAAGTAATATCATAATAGAAACGATTTAAACCCAAAATTGTTACAAAATATTGTTCTTAAGGGGGCCATCATAGGCCACTTCCCCTATTTTTAAAGCGTTTTGAAATACAATTGGGAAAGTAAGTCTGCACACTATAAAGTGCAGACTTAACGCTTCATTGCCGATCACCGTAGGTCTGCTCGCCAAAATAGATAAAGACACCGATTTTAACACCTTTGCACCCGACCTATGCGGGGTCGACATTTTTTAGGCACGCTATGCCGTGCGATGCTATGATCAGAGATACAAGAAAAAAATACATTTCTATATCCAAAAATAGCTACCGTAGCGTAGCTACCGCGGTATCAGCCGTATCAATGATACGGGTCCCCCGGCTAGGGGGGGCCTCGATTGGCTTCGACATGCGTAAGCAAAAAACATGTAAAAAAAATTGAGACATGAAATTAAATAAATAAATAATTTTATTATTTAGATGTTTATACATCGATTTATTGAATTAAAGTTTTCCTGAATACCCTCCTGTTCCAACGAGGCCGTGAACTCATACGAATTGTTTCTGCCCGCACCTTTCCGCTATGCATTGTCTGCGGCGCAGTCTGCGCATAATACGCGCCGCATCTTAGTCTGCTTTGCGTGTTATTATCATAGGTTATATTAATAGCAATCTGGAAATAATTATTAGCGTTACAATTATTTCAAATGACACTTGCCTTTATTTTAAAATATAAACCTTTTAAAAGATGTTGAAATTTTAAAATTTGCCTGTACATAAAAAGCTATGTATACATGTAATATTTATTTAATTTAAAAAAATTGGTAAATGCAAAAAAATGATACCCTAAAAATTTTTTTTGTTTGCTCAAAATATACTTTGGGCGTGACACCCAGAAATTTTTTTGCCAGCAGCTTTTTTCGTGTGAGGGCCCCACCATATTTTTAATACGGGGCCCCCTCCCCAGACCGCAAAATCCCATTCCCTGCACATGTCAGGAATATTCCCAGGATTATTCCAAGCGTACCAGAATATTCCCGGCGTAATCAAATATCCGCTTTTTGGTTAACCCAGTCATCATAAAAAGAATATGCCATGTAGCGGCATGCATAAGACTTAAGTATTGTTAGGAGAATATTCCCAGGAATATTACTGGCGTAATCAAATGTCCGCTTTTTGGTTAACCCAGTCATCATAAAAAGAATATTCCATGTAGCGGCATGCATAAAACTTAAGTATTGTTGGGAGAATGTAATATAATTTGGGGATTACTCCTAGCCCTTATATCCAGGAACTTAACTTAACTTAATGATTAGGTAGATCAGTCCCACTCTAATCATTGTTTATAAACATCAAATCAAATCAAATCAAAAATAGTTTATTTTCCTTGTCAATACAAATTAAAATGGGCATAGATGCCTTGTTGCCAAAGATATTTTGCATTACATTTTATTACAAACAAAAAAAATGGAATGTAGAGTAGGCCGGTGGTGCAGTCCTGGCGTCGCGACATCAGGGGCAGGCATCAACCGCGTCGATGTTGTGACGAACGTCAGCATCCAACCCAATTAGTCTATTAGCGAGATGGCTCAACTTTCTCACCAAGGTGATTCTGAAGGTGTTGTCGTGTGGAGGATTTTGTAAATGTTTGCAGGCTCTATCGACTGTGACTTTGGATTTTTTAATTTTGGTTAAAGAATTACAGGAAAAAGTATTGGAAAAAACCTGTTTAAAGTTTATAAACATCACAGACACACATCTTCAACTGATATTATTAACCTATCGGTATAATATATATATATTATATAGTTATCAAGCGTGCGTAAGCAACGGTGAGATGTATTGCAACTTGTTGGGTTTTGACAATTAAATCTTATTTTGTATTTTATAAATATCAAGTAGTTCTTATTTTATATTGTCATAGTAAAAAATAATAAATAAAACAGTTTGTTAATTTTGCTGTAATTAAAACTTTTAATAATAAAAGTTGGAATCAGATATAAAAGTATTATTTCAAGTTCCACATTCCAACTAAAGTCTACAGGTTATGGGCCCAGGGCTACGCGGCAAATAAAAATTTAATTTTAATTCAATTAAAAAAACAGAACAATGGCAGAAGAAACAGAAAAATACAGAATCTCATTGTTTGACGGCTCAAATTTTGATAATTGGAAGTTCCGAATTGAAACCCTATTGTACGAAAAGGATTTACTGCAATATGTAACCGAAGCATACAAAGAAAAAGTTAAGTTCCTCGAAAGTGACAGCGAACATCAACGAACAGCAAAACAACAGCAATTGGCCGAACACGAAAAAAAGGACCGAAAATGCAAATCACAAATCATTCAGCGGATCACCGATAGTCATCTGGAGTATGCCAAGGATAAAATCTCAGCATTTGATTTGTGGAGTACGCTTGAGAATACGTTTCAACGAAAAGGAATTGCTAGTCAATTGCTTACTCGTAAGTCCCTTCTAAGTTTGAAATTCGATGCGAAAAATGATACTCTTGGTAATCATTTTTTGAAATTTGATAAAATGGTTAGAAATTTGCGATCAACGGGTGGAAAATTGGAAGAAATTGATATTGTCTGTCATCTTTTGCTGACAATGCCCCCCGAATATGACAATGTGGTAACAGCTATTGAAACTTTGTCAATAGAAAGTTTAACTGTCGCGTTTGTCAAAAACAGATTATTAGATGAAGAAAATAAAAAGAATGATCTGACAAATACTAGCGGCGGAGAACTTCCGTCATCGACGGCTTTCGCCACGCAGCAGAAAATGTATCCGAGACCTGGTCAAAAGCAAGTACAAGGAAGTTTATCGCAAAGGTTCCCTTTTAGTTGCAACTATTGTAAGAGACGAGGTCATCGTTATAGCGAATGCAGAAAAAGGGCATATGACATGAAAAATAAAAATTCTCAGAGTGCAGGCGCTGCGACAGCACCAGAAAACGACAGCAATTATTGTTTTTCAGCCTTGACAGGCAATCACACAAGCGACAAAGTAAAATGGTTCCTCGACTCGGGAGCAACGGAACATTTAATAAGCGAATCCGTTAGGCTATCCAAAACAAAGAAACTTGACGCACCAGTGAAAATTAAAGTCGCAAAATCTGGATCATTCCTAGAGGCCAAACTTACCGGGGAAATTCAACTCACAAGTATAGTAAATGGAAAGGAAAATACGATAACGGTAAAAGATATTCTGTCTGTACCAAAACTTCATTACAATTTGCTGTCGGTAAGAAAGCTCGAAATGAATGGATTTCGTATAATTTTTGAAAATGGTCGTGGTTTAATAATGAAAGAAGACCAAATTATCGCAATTGCTATCAGAAATGAAATACAACTTTATGAACTGAATTTTAGAAAAGCTGTTGTTGCTAATCTAATCACGAAAAATGAAGAATATCAACTTTGGCACAAAAGGATGGGACATTTGAATTTTATGGATGTTAAGAAGATGCAGAGTCAAACCAGTGGAATGAAGATTGATTTTTCAAAAGAAACGAAGAAATTATGTCCAGTATGCATTGAAGGAAAACAACCTGCTCAGCCACACAATCAAGAGAGACAACGAGCAACAAGACCACTGCAGTTAGTGCATAGCGATCTCATTGGCCCCATTAATCCCATTTCTCATGATTTGAAGAAATATGTACTTACCTTTATTGATGACTACACACATTTTACTGCGAGTTACAATTTGAATTCTAAAAGTGAAGTTTTACATTTTTTTAAGATTTTTCAAGCAATGGCGACTGCTCATTTTAACATGAAAATAAGCCGGTTCAGATGTGATAATGGAAGAGAATATATTTCGAAAGAAATCAAAGAATTTTTTGAGAATTGCGGAGTACAGTTCGAATTCACAATTAGATACACTCCAGAGCAAAATGGAGTTGCGGAGAGAATGAATCGCACCATTTTAGACAAAGCTAGGTGCATGCTATTGAACTGCAAACTCGGAAAAACATTTTGGTCAGAGGCGGTTCCAACTGCGGTCTATTTAATTAACAGGAGTCCGACTACGACTCTGAATGGCAAAATTCCGGCTGCATTTTGGTTCGGCGACAAACTCAATG